GGGGCCTGAAACCTTGTTTTCCCAGAGTTTTATCAACTGGCCCTTGTGCACTGTCCCTGCCACCCCCCAACCTCCAGAGACATCTGGGGACCCCTTTCTTGCACCCGAATCCCACACCCAGCCTCCTTCTGTAGCCTGTGGACCCCAGAGAGGGGCTCCAGACACTTCTTCCCAAGGGAAGTTGGGGCGGACCGAACTTAGGGTTGGGACGACTCCCGCGCCCTGCAGGGGTCATGTGTGCCACGGCAGGGGCCACCCCAGCTGAGCGTGACAGGCCTGGAGGCAGGGCCGCGTGGCCTTGGGCGGGTCTGGCTCCTCTGCCCAGCGCCTCAGTCTTCCGGCGCCCGCACACGGCCCCGACCTGCGCGCCTGGACCCCACTCCCGTTCCAGCCCGACAGCCCCGGCCTGCGCGGGCACACGGAGGTGGGGCGCACGCACACGCGCACACAGGGACACACACAGGGACACGGACACACACACACACGCTTGCTCCCAGCCCCCAGGATGCTGCTCTTTCATTATCTTGCATGTCGCTTCTGCAATAAAATTCTTTAATTAAAACATGAATATTTAAAACAGCCCTTGAGAGAAACGGCCCCATCTCACCAGAGGTGGAAAAGCGCACAGAGAGACTGTGGGAAAGAGACGGGGACACGGGACACGGGAGCCGGCCCTGCCTGAGAGACCCCGCAAAGCGGTGGCCGGGCGGGCAGCCGGCCGGCAGCAGGGAGGAGAGGGGACAGTTGCTCTGGCCTGAGGAACGCTCACTGGGTCGGAGGCGTGACGTGGCCATGTGGCGTTTGGACAGGCCAGGCTGGGGGAGGGCTGAAAATGGGCCACGGGCTGGCCAGGCCGCCTGCTCGCTCGCAGCTCAGCCGTGCACCGCCTTCTTGGGGTGCAGATGGAGAGGACGTGCCTGTCCCAGCCTCCCCTGGCCAGCGTGAGGGGGCGAAGCTCCCTGGGCACCAGGCTCAGCAGACGAGATCTGGGGTCTGGCACCTGCCCAGCTCGGCTGCAGGCCTTGAGTGATCGCTGTACCTCCTGGTCCAAGCGCCCCCACACGTGCGCACGCGGCCCTCCCAGAAGAGATTATTGTGGGCGAAGCCCCCGGGCGGACCACCAGGAAGCCATAAGCCGGCTCTGACGTCAGCCTACCCCTTACAAGCTGTGTGACCCTGGCTGCTGCCTCAACATCTCTGTGCCTTATTCCAATTCACCAGCGCTCATCAGGTGCCTGCTGCGGGCCCGGTGCTGTTCCACGTGCTGGGGGTTACGTGGATGACCACGCAGGCACACACCCTGCCCTGTGGTGCTTACAACCCGGCAGGGACAGAGAAGGGGGCGCGGACCTAACAAATAGAGGAAATTCTCAGTGCGCTGTGGACAGAGAAAGAGACACGGTGTCTGGGGGCGGAAAGGGGGGCTCTGGCTGCTGCCACTTTACACAGCACGGTCAGGGTTTGTTGAGAAGGTGACGTCTGAGCAAGGACTTGAGGGAGGGAGCCCCGAGGGGATCTGGGGAAGAGTGTTCCAGGCAGAGGGGATGGCCAGTGCAAAGGCCCTGGGGCAGGAGGGTGCTTCGGTGGGCCTATCTGACCGGCTGCTAGAGGAAGTAACCTCGTTAATACGTGGATGCTTCCGGCACAGAGGAAACCCTCAAGACGTGGCTGCTGTTACTACTAAGATGACTTTTACTCCCAAAGTCCCAGAAGTATCAGGGCCCTGTGGATCCGGGGGACAGGCACTGGGGTCCGAGCTATCTCTGGGCCTGGGTGACCACCGTCTGGCCCACCTTGTCCAGTGCAGATGAGCCCCCCGCCGCCCCGTCCACGTGGCGGGCAGTCCCAGCCCACACACAGTCCACATCGCCTTCCCACAAGACCGCCAGCCCCTGCCACGCAGCCCCCCGCGCTGAGCTTTGTCAAAAGCGCAGAAATCAGCCCTGCACAGAGTCCGGCTCAAAACACGCGCGTGCACCTCCACCTTCCTACCGTCCTCTGAGCACCACCTCCCAACGTTCCCTTTCCCGGAATCTGTGGGGAAGCCCCCCGCTCCAAGCGCCCTCCTCCTCCTGTCTGCCTCTTTGCCCCCGAGCCCTCTGTCTCCCACCTAGTGATGAACCCGAGGCCTCGGCCGCATCGCTGCCATCGTTTTGGCTTAGACGCACTTCCTCCTAGGTGTCATCCCTCGTGCCGTCCAGGAAGGATTAGTTTTGCTGTTTCCGTTTTAAAGACAAGGGGCCTGAGGGGCTGACAGCTGCTGGGATTGGCCCAGGACTCACAGCGTGCTCGGGTCAGGCTGACCCGGCCCTGTACTCCAGGCCCCAGAGTGCCCCACTCAGATGCAGCCCCACCTGGGAGACCCCCGGGCATCCCACCCTGAAGTCCACTCTGACCTCTGGATCTTCCTCCCCACTGTGTCTCCACCCAGTGCTTCCCCAACCCGGCTGATGTCCTCATTCCTAGCTGGGAATCTGGGGGGTGGGGGTGGGGTGTCTAGCCACCTCTTTCCCAAATCCTGCTCCTCCCCCCCCCCCCCCCCCCGGCAGCCGCCCACCCTGGTGGTGCCCTGCCCCCCCCCCCCCCCCAGGCCAGTGTCAGCTCCCTCCTGGGTGCCGGCCCAGCTGCCTCCCCGTCCCCGGCTCCCCCTGCCCAGTTCCAACGCTCTTCTGCATTTACAGCCTAGGACCATCAGCCTGTGTCACTCTTCTGCTTCAAGCCCCTCGATGCTAACAGAGACCAGCTCTTTCGCACAGGTGCCAGGCCCTGGGGCCGTCATACCCCATGTGGCACGGCAGTCCTTCAGGAGGGAAATGGCCGCGGGGGGTGACCCGGCCCTCGCTGGTCCTCCCACTTCCCAAACCAGCCGCTGCCCGGCCGCTCTGTTCCTCCGGGTCCCCTGAGGACCACTCCCATCCTGCCACGCCTCAGAAGCTGCCCAAGCCAAGGTCACAGTGACCTACATTTGCCCAGCCCACGGATCAGCCCTTCCAGACTCCTACCCTACGGCTTTCTGCTGGATTCCTGAACACCCCGTCTGCCCCTGCCCCCGGGGGCTGTGCCTGCCTCCTCCTGAGGCCACTGGAGAGGCGCTGGCCTGCCCCCCTTCCCCTGCTCCTCTCCAGTTATGCTCATGGCTTCACGGAGGTTTCTGGAATCTACAGCCAGGACCATGATTGGAACCCTTTGGGGCTTCTTTTCTGCCTTTAAAGACCCTGTTCCGAGTAGGGCGTTGACCTCATTGGCTAAGGGCCCTGGACAACGTCACCTGGCCCCGCAGTGACCCACCCAGCGTGGAACACCCAGCCAGGCCTGGCCCCTGGATGCCCAGCCCCTGTATTCCGCTGGCAGCCCCGAGGTCTGAGGCGGGCTGCCCCCTGCTGCTCCAGCCTCCCAGGGGCGCCCAGGAAACCCCGGGCAGCCCGCCAGGGGTTCTCGACCACCAAGCGCACACAGGACTGACCTCCTGCCCGCTGCCCACCGAGCCCCACCCACCCCCGTCCCCCTTGCCACGTCTTCCACTCGGGCCCCATCTCTCCGAGGGCCGACAGTCACACAGGACGCCCCGACAGCTGTGCCGGGCACCCCGGCACCATCCACTTCCGGCCTCTGCCCTGCCCCGTCCTGGGCCTTCACTGCCCTTCCCACCCCCACGGCGCTCACGTGCACCCCTCCCAGAATCTTGAACACGGTCCCCTGGTGCAGGTGACCCTGACCTCCAGGCGAAACAGAGGCCCCACCCCGCCGGGGACCCTTCCCCTGCGCTGTTTCCCAAGATGCCCTCCCCTGTTGCTGCCTGGCACCTTCCCCTCCCCCCGCGCGCGCCCCCCCCCGCCGCAGCCTCACAACAGCGGGTCTTTGTGGTTGTTTTTTGTCACGGCGTGTCCCTGGCGCCTGGACACCTTGCGAGCGCGGTAACCGGCTGCTGGGTGAAGGATCTGTGCCGCCGAAACGCACGCGATCCCCAAACCTCGTCCCCTGGCCGCAACTCCAAAGGGCCCGCCCGGCCCACTTCTCCACGCGGCCCGCAGCCCGAGGGGCCCCCGCAGACCCCGGCCCCGGGCCTACTGGCCCCATAGCGTCGTCTGCCTGCCACAACGGGAGGCCCCTCCCCCAGCCAGGAGTTAAAGCTCCTTCGTCCGCGGTTCGGTTCGGTCCTTCACTGGCGCTCAGCACGCAACTCCGGGGCCGGTGGCGAACACCTCAGGTCGCCTGCCCTCAGCGCTTGGCTTCCCCGGGGGGAGGGGGCTGCCCAGGGGCAGGTGGCCGGGGCAGCACCCCGCAGAGAGGACCCTCTCCCACCGCCCTGTGCCCAGACAGCCAGCCCTCTCCCACCGGGCCACTCACCTGGCACGCCGTCCCCGCCCCGATCCTGGGTCAGGCTGGTGAGGCAGTTCTCGGGGCCGCCGGCCACGCCGTCCCTCAGGCAGACGTCCCCTCGGGGGGTCAGGGAGCCAGAGGCAGGGTCGCCAGTGTCGCCGCCTAGGCAGGCGCAGGGGGTCTGCATGATGCCGCAGGGGTGGGAGCTGCGGCTGCCGGCCAGACAGGCGTCCAGCCAGCGGCACAGCATCTGGCAGGCGGCCCGGCTGGGGTTGCGGTTGCCCACGACCAGGTACTCCACAGAGAAGTCGTCGCCGGGGCTCTGGGGCGCGGCCGGCAGCCCGGGGCCCCGCTCGCGGGGCGGCTGCTGGCGCAGCATCTGCAGGAACTGCTTGCTGGCCTGCAGGAAGGCCAGGGGCGCCGAGGGGTCGCAGAGCTGCAGCACCTCGTCGAAGCTCTCCACGCCCAGGTAGGTGCGGGTGGACTCCAGGAAGGAGTCGAACTGGTAGGTGCGGACGCGGCCGGGGCCGCCGCAGGGCGCGGGCGCCTTGGCCACCTTCATGTAGAGCGTGTAGCGCCGCGGGTCCGGGTTGCGCAGGGTCCAGGAGCAGCGCGAGGCGTTGGCCGGGAACACGGCGGCCGCCTGGAAGTACCCGAAGAACTTGCCCTGCACCAGCGTGGCGCACGGCTCGGCCCCGGGCCCCGCGTCCGCCCCCGCGGCCGCCCGCGCCCAGCGCCCCAGCAGCAGCAGCAGCAGCAGCAGCAGCGACGGGCAGAGGGTCCGGAGGGGCCCCGGGGCGGCGGCCTGGCCCCTCATCCTAGCTCGCGGGGCCGCCGGGGTTCCGCGGGCTGGGCAGGCAGGCGCAGGCCAGGCCTTGACATGCCAGGGTCCGGCGACGGCGGGGCTGGGCTGGCGGGAGCCGGGGGCGGGGGCTCCGAGCGGGGGCGGGAGAAGGCTCCGGACGACCTAAGGTTCAGGGCCCCGACGCTGGCCTGTGGCCCTCAGCAGCAGCTGGAAGAAGAGGGGAAGAGGGACGGTGTGAGGCCACGCCCCCCCCCTGCCCTGGGGAGGCTGGGATTCTGGGCACTGGGGGGCCGTGCCTGCAACCCGCCAACGTGTCCACCTGCAGGGGGACGGTGGCCTCCTCCTCCAGCTGGGCCTGAGCAGGGAGCGGTGGGCAGCCCCCGGCCGGGGCCCGGGGCCCCGGAGGCCTGGGCCCGGCCAGCCCGGCTGAAACTGGCCACGCGTGGCCCCTGCGGGTCCCGGGGCTGCCTGCTTGCTCACGCCATCATGGCCACGGCGGCCACTCGGCCCATGGGCCTCTGTGTCTCTCCCTGGCCCTGTGTCGGGGGGCTGGGCGCTCTCTCCTGGCCGTCTCCCTCATCGGTCTCCTCTCTCTGTGCCCTTCCTCCTCCCTAGTCCCTGCCCGTCAGGGAGGAGAGTGCAATCCTCACAGAAGGGGAAGGGGAGAGGTCATTCTGGCCATCCCCCGGCAGCGGGAGCGCAGACCCTGTGACAGTGTGATGGGGGTCACTGCCGCCTCTCAGGCAGTCTTCCTCCCCCTCTGGGACCCACTGGCCCCTGGGCCCGCGGCTCTAGGAAGGCAGGGCTGGGCACGGAGTCACCCAGAACCGCACACATCCAGGCCTCGGCCTACACTAACCCCTTCCCTCACCCCTTCTTTGCGACCCACCCCTCCACTTCACGACGAGGACACCGGGGCTGAGAGGGGAAGTGGCTCGCAGGAGGTCACAGTGAGAGGCGGGAAAACCCACACCTGAACCCCTTCGCGGCCCCAGCCTTGTGCCGCCGGGTCCCCTCCCCTGCTCTGGGAGAGAAGGTGCCGGCTGTGTGTCGCCCCTCACTCCTGGGGGAAGGGGATGCAGCTGCCAGCCCATTGGAGCAGGGACACAGCGGAGCCACCCAGGGCTCAGAAAAGGACGGTGCCCCTGCTGGACCTGCCACCATGTGGACCCCGGTGGGTTCCTTCTGCTTCCGGGCCTCACTTTCCCCAACCATCCCCGGGCTCCTAGCTGGGCCAGGCGCCGGCCCCCCCCCAACCCCCCCACCCCTGGCTGCTGGGCCTCCTGGTGCCCGTGGCCTCCACTATGCAGACCTTGCACATGACGGCCGCCTGCCCCCAGGGACTCGCCACTTCCTGCTGCCCAGCGTCCTTCCCGCGTGGGCTGTTGGCGGATCGGGGAGCTGGGCACAGGTGGCCTTGGGCCCTGAGAGGACTGGCAGCCCCTTCGTGGCTATGTGGCCTCGGGCAGTCCTCACCCTCTAGCCTCAGTTTCCTCATCTGTATAATGGGGGAGAAGCCTCACCGTCTCAGCAAGAGAGTAAGATCTAGACCTGGGGGTTTACCCATGTTTGGGGCAGGAGGCAAGGAGGAGGAGGGGAGAGGAGGCGAGAGTGAGGTTCTGGGTCACCAGGGGGAGCCGGGCCAAACCCGGCCCCCCGGGGCTCTTTAGTGGCACACATTCAGGTGCCCTGAGGAGGGAATTCCTAAACTTCTCATCCTGGCACCTGTGGGCAGGGCTGAGCAGACGCTGAACTTAGACCTTACCTCTGGGAAGACCCTCGTCCCACCTCTAGACCACCTGGGGCCAGCCCTGGATGTGGGCATAGCAGAGCCCGCTTGCCCTGGCCACCTGCCCCCACATTACGGGGACGGACAGGCCACGGCAGGGTCCTACAGCCAATCCCAGACTTGGGAGGTCCCCGCCATCTTGTTGCAGAGGGGTGGCCGTGTGTTCCAAAACCTCATCTGAGCCCCACTTGCACCCCCCCCCCCCCCCCAAGTCCCGGGCTGGGACCTAATGTGGAAGCCAGTCCCCGGCCCTGGGACAGACTCTCCCTAACGCCCAGAGGGTCCAGGGGACTTAGCCCCAGTCCCAGAACAATGTCGGCACTGATCCCAGCTTAATGCTCACCTTGCTGCGCCCCATCACTACCCCCCGGGGGCCTGCGCGGTCTGAAATGACCCACGTGAGGGCCCACGTCACCTGTGTCCCCTCTCCGGCCCGGACACTCCCTCGGGGCCTCGGGGGGAGGTAAGGGAGGCAGGCTGGTGCAGGGGACGGTGGTGGAGAGGGAGGGGGGGACGCTCGGAAGAGGGGCTGGTTCTGGGGGACCTGGGGGGCCAGGAGCAGGTACAGGAGGTGACGTACACAAGCACCCAACCACTGAGGGCCTGTGCCGGGCGCGAGTTCTCCAGGGCCTCAGCCAGCCCCTCTGGAGAATGGTCAGCCATGGGGCTGCGGGTGAGAGCACGGCCCCCGCCTTCCGCGCCTCCAGGAGGACTCGGCATCCTGGTGAACCCCGTCCTGTGCCAGGCCGTCGCATCTACAGCAGCCACCCCAGGGGCACCTGTTAGGGCTCCATTTTGCAGATGGCATATTTGGGACCACGGAGGAGCCGTGTCTTGGTGGGGGCTGGTAGGTGCTGAACGCCAGAGCCAGGATCCAAACCCAAGTCTGCCAGTCAGAGCTGGTGCCCTCTGCACCGCCCAGCACTGCCCTGGGGCGGGCAGGACCGGACCTAAGCCTGCTCCCGTCCCAGGCCACGCTGAGGTCCTCCTGGCATGTCTCCCGGCCAGCCCTCCTGGTCACTGGCTCACTCCACAACCGGAGCACCTGCCGGGGGCGGAGGCCCCCCTGCAGCATCCCGCGTGGCAGGACAGAGGCGGCAGCGGGGTTAGAAGCAGGACAGCGCTCCAATCAGAAGGGTCCCTCACGAGGGCAGCCCGGGCGGCCCATGGTGGGGGGAGTGGGCCTCGGGGGGAGGCAAGGGAGGCACGGTGGGGCAGGGGGTGGTCGTGGGGAGGGAGGGGGAAGATGCTCAGGAGATAGGACAGAGAGGCCCCAGTGGCCAGCTGGGGTATGGGATGTGGAGGGGACACTTCCGGCCTGGACACTGAGGTGGCAAGTGCAGGGGTGAGTGTGTGGTAAGGGCAGGGCAGGGCAGAGCTCAGAGCCCTTCCAGGCGGCGGCGCCCCGAGACCGAGGCCCCGAAGCGGGCCTTCAACAGACTACCAGGGCTGGAAGATGGCCTGTGAGTGTTCAGCCATGGGGTTCTCAAACAGGGCTCCTATGGAGCTCTGGGGCCCCAAAGGGGGGACCCCAAGGGCCGTCAGGTGGGAAGCAGTAGGCGTCCTCTAGAACATCTCTGACTCGAACTGCTCCATCCACGCCCTGGGCGTCGGGAAAGGCTCTGCCAGCCAGAGGGCTGTGCCGGCTATGAGGACACCAGCCCGGCCTCGCTTCTCCCGGCTGGGTCGCAGGGCAGAGCTGGGCAGGAGGCCCGGGCTGCCACTGTGGATGGCCCCTGCACCTGCCAGTGCGCGCTGTCCCCCTGCCTCTCCACGCCCCATCCCCAAGCGGCTCACAAGGCCTTTCTGGCCAGATGAGCCTCCTTTATCCTCATTAACTACCTACCTGACCCCCAACGAGGCCTCGGAAAAATGGCTCAGAGGCCCCTCCCCTCTGAGGCTCCTTGCGCCAAGGCAGGCCCAGGCAGGCAGAGCGCCGGGCAGGCTTGGTGTCAGGCCCCAGGTCACATAGCCATGGTGGAGGACAGGTCAAGTCCCTCCCAGGCCGGGGCAGTTGGTGCTGAGACAGGGTAGGGGCATACGGCGGGGGGGGGGGGGGGGGCGGGGGGAGCCAGGGTCTCAGAGACGACCAGGCTTCCAGGTTGGGCAAGTGAGCCATGGGCGGTGGGGGCCCTCACTGAGATGAGGGGCGGATGCGTGCACACACGTGTGCGTGTGTGAATATGCGTGGCTACACGTGCACCTGGGCGCAGATGTTTCCCCGTATTCGTGAGCACACGCGTGACCGTGTGCACGCGTGTCTCTGGATGTGTGCACGTGTCTGCATGCACGCACACGTGTAGCATGCTTGCACAAGGACACACGGCAAGAAGAGAGCCGGGCTCAGTGTGTGCTCACCGGGACGTGAGGGGCCGTGGGGTGGACACCAGAGCTGGGACGGGAGGGCTTGCCCGGAGGGGACCGTTTAGGGAGCGCCCCGTGGCCGGGCCAGAGCCCTGGGGGGCCCAAGGGCCCCTGAGAAGGAGGGCCGAGCGGGGTGGACGGCCGGTGTCTCTGGCAGCACCTCCACTGTGTGTCCCCGGGCTGGCTCAGGCCCCCACCCCAGCCTCACCTGGCACCCGGGCCTCCGCTGGCCGAAAGCGAGGCGCTGGGGGTCTCTGGCCGTCCCCAGCGATGGGCTCTCGTGTGGCCACAGGTCACTCCTTTCCGTGAACGCTCACAGTCTCTCCCAGGGCACTGTCTCCTCCCCAGACACAGGCCACTTGTCCTCCGATCCCGGCCTGGGTCACTGAGGCTTTTGTTGCCCACTGCCCCCCTCGGGCTCCCAGGGACAGCGACGACTCACGCCCAAGCCCCCCTGGTTCCCGCGTGAGGGAAACTAACCAAACTGCCCTTGCTGCCAGAAAGTTCCTCCCGGTGTCCGGCCCCCACTCTGAGGCCCGCCTCAGCCCCGGCCCATCGTCGCAAGGCCTCCCAGAGGCCCGGGGGCTGGCCTCGGGATGGGGGCCAGGGAGCCCTGTGGGTGTCTGAGCAGGGTCGCAGGGTGGAGGCTGCTGGGACGGGAGGTGGGTGACCGTGCGGGTGAGGGACTGAGAGCGAGCCAGGCGGGCACGGGAAGCTGGGGGTCAGCCGAGGAGGACCCCTAAGAGTCCCCGCCAGTTTCTGAGTCCCGACCACAGGCTGGGACTGGCCTGAGCTCCACGGGAACCCCTTGTTGGACGTCACGGCCCTGTCGTGAGGTAGGAGCAGAACCAAGCCCCCCGTGAGGCTCGCAGGGTCACCGTCAGCCGAGGATCCTGCGCCCACCTGCCACACCGTCCCAGCTGTCTCCCTGCACAGGCAGGCCAGCGGTGCCCCCGCCCCGACATCAGAAGCCCTGGGTGCCTTGGTTTCCCCGCTCCCTCGGGCGCTGTGATTCTCCAGCCCCACTCCAGTCTGTCCCACCCTCCTCCCCAGGCTCAGCGCCCTCCCCCGCAAGGCCCGGTGCACACACGCAGACCCACCCCGGGCCCTGCCTCCACATCCCCTCCCCACCCACCCCAGGCCGCCAATGGCATCCCCAGATGCCAGCCACAAAAGGCACTCTGTTGTCCTGCCCGGCCCCCTGAACAGTGCCTGCCTGTGTGTCCTGGGAAAAGGCTGCGCTGGGGGAGGGGTGGGGTGGGCGCCCTCAGCACCGAGGACAGCCCAGGGGCTGGCTGGCAGGCAGGGGCCGGGAGAGCAAGCAGATGAGGCCGTCCGGGGACGCGCGACCGCCCCTGCCCACGCAGCCTGCCCTCCCTGCCCAGGGAGCCCAGGGACCCCTACGGATCCCTCCCGGGCAGTGGCAGCCTGGGGCCCAGGGGGCCGCGTGGGCTCTGGGAGTGGGGGGGGGCGGGCGTAGATCCAGGACAACCTAGGACGAGGGGCCTCTGTCCGTGAGCACAGACGCAGGTGGGGCATGAGAACGTGGCTCCCCACCCCACAGTCACCGTGTGTTCGTGCTCCCAGCCTGTGCGGACCGGGCTCCCCTGAACCCCTCTGCTCACCTGCGGGGAGTCCCACGCCTGCCCCGAGGAGCCCCCAGGTCGCACCGCACTCAGCAGAGAGGTAGGGGCAGAGCAGGGAGGCGCCACCACAGGGCCGCGGTGGGGGCCGGGCCCCGAGAGGCCCACCGCATCACCACGCCTGCCGGCCCGGCCCCTCGGGAAGCCCCCTTCCCTTGCGCCCCTGCCCGGGCACAGGTGCCGTGGCGGGGAGTCTGCCCAAGAGAAGAGAGAAAGGCCCCCCGCCACCCGAAGGGCCGCTGCTGGGGGCTGGGAGGGGGGAACCCTGTGTGGCTCCGCCGCAGCCCCCCGCCCCGCAGCCCCACGACGGCGAGGCGGTCTTCACCCGTATTTCACAAGGGAGGCTGACGGACTCCCCGCACCAAGGGTAGCTCAGGAGCTGGGGCCTGGAGCTGGGGGCCAGCTCCCTGACGGGCCTTGTCACGCCTCCTCTTGCCCAGAATCCCATCACCCCAAACCCCTTGCAGGCCTCGAAGCCACGCCGCAGGGGCCAGGAGCTCCGCCCCCGTTCCTGGCCGGCCCGGCCTGGGGAGCACTCCTCCTCCAGGACACCGAAGCGGCCTGCGCTCGAGGGCCTCACCTGCGCCTGCCGCCTGCCGGGCCCTCCCCAGAGTGGGCGTGTCCTGCACCCCAAGCGCGCACGCACCCAGGCACGCAGGCGCAAGCGTGCAGTAGCATGTGCGTGCACACAGGCAGCCTCTCCCGGAGACAGTCCTAAGCGGGGACGCGACGGCATAGGTCCCAGGGTCGGGGTGGGGGACTCTCACGAGGAGGGGGTGACTGACTGTGCTCTCCTCTCAGGGTCCGCCGGCTTGGCGCCCCGGGGGGAGCCGCTGAGCCCCGAGGCTGCCCTGGCCCCCCGGCTGCGGGCCTGTGAGTGATGCCCCGGTCCACACCCCACACCGGGATCTGTGCTCCCCGGGTCTCCAGAGGGAGGGGCTCGTCCGAGGTCACCTGCCCAAGGTCGCATGGGAGAGGGCAAGGGGACAGCAGGAAGGTCGGAAGAGGGGGTCAGGACGGGGCCCGGGGGGCACACCTAGGCCCTGGGGCTGCTCTGTGCTGAGGCTCCAGGGCATCGCGGGCGGCCCGACTGGGTGGCGTCAGCAGAGTTCCTGACCGCTTGCGGGGGGGGGGGGGGGGGGCCGGGGGGCGAGCAGCGACCGGCACTTAGCCTGCACCTGCTTCGTGGAATCGAGGTCCTCCGGCTCCCAAAGTCCCCTGTACCTGCTCCAACAGCACAGCTGGGGCGGCAAGGCTGACCGTCCCGTCCCACTGCTCAGAGGAGCAAAGGCTCCCCCAGCTGGAGGCTGCACCCGGGGCCTCCCCCGACACCCACGGGGTGACCTCTCCCCTCTGTGGGGGGCAGCTGAAGAGAAGGACGGCCAGCGAGGGTGGGGCCCGGGCTCAAGGTCACCACCTCTGCCCACGGTCCCCCAGCTCTGGAGGGAGGCGGGAGCAAGCAGACGCGATGCCCCCCCACCCCCGGCCCCGAGCAGGACGGTGGGGCCCACGGATGGACAGGCCGGGTGCTGAGGAGCGGGTGTGGGTGCAGGGCGGGAGTGTACCTACATGTGCACACGGTGTAGGAGGGAGTGCATGTCCGAGGACAAGTGGGGGGGGGGCTCTGTGCGGGTGAGGGAGCGTGTGCGTGTGGCGTGAGTGGACCGCGTGCAGGTGTGTGTGCGTGTGCAGGCGTGGGTGTGCGAGTGGACGTGCTGCTGTCCACAAAGGGCTTCTGGAGGCGCCACGTGTGAGGTGGGGACCAGGGGCGGGTCCAGCTGGGAGCAGGGGCAGGGGTGGCAGAAGACGTGCTCTCCCGCCTGCTGATTCCCTCTCCTTTCCATTCAGGTCTTACAGCCATGGTCACATGCCTTTCCCAGGGCACCAGATGTCACCCCCCAGCCGGATCAGGTCCGTACCAAGTCCTGCCCTCGACAGCCCCGAGGCTGCCCTGCCTTCTGCAGTTCTAGGCTCTCTGGGGCACAGGGCGGCGAGGCTCCCAGCCCTGAGTCACCAAGTCTCAGAGAAGCGGCTGCTCCAAAGTCACCTTGCCACGCGGGAGGGAGGTTGGGGCCATCAACTCCCTTGCAGGCTCAAGCCTTAAAGGGGGGTGGGGGTGGGGGTGGACGGAGGCCCAGGCTTCAGAGGGTGGGGCCTGGTGCTCTCTCCACAACCCCCCCATCTGGGTGGAGGTCAGTGATGAGACCAGGCCATCCCTGGGTGGCCCTGCCCACCAGCCCTCGGCGTCTCCGCCTCAAAGGCCTTCAGCCCTGAGACAGCACCCCAAAATCGGCAGCCAGCCCCCCAAAACTGCCTGGGCTGGGGCTCAACTCCAGTGCCTGCCTTGGAGCCTCTCCTGGCTTCTAGTGGTTGCTGGGGCCACAGAGATCCACGGGCTGGAAGACGGGTGGCAGGACGAGCACAAAGATAACCGAGGTGCCAAAGGTGGTAACTGGGAGTGGGAGTGTGGGGGCGTAGGGGACGGGGTGTCGGGGCATGGCGGGTGAGCCGGGTGCCCATGATGTACACTGAACACTTCCACTTGCCCATGCAAGACATAGGCAGTCGTCCTGCCGAAGCACAGAGCATTCTGGAAAGACAACAGGGAGTCACTAACGGGGTCACTCGGGGCAGAGGACCTGCGTTGGGGGGCAAGACGGAGACTCCTATTTGCTCCCTAGCCCTTGGTGCTTCTTTAATTACGAGGCAAGAGTCCCTACGGAGAAGGGGGACAGGGGAGGTGGGGGCAGAGCGGGACAGATGTGCCCCCGTAGCACACTTTGTCCCTGAGCTCGTCTTTGCCTCACCCTGCGAGCAGGACTGCGTCCCCCCGCACCCCCAGCTGAGAACACCGAGGCAGGGAGGCTCCTTAGCACCTGGTGTCAGAAGACCCGAGCCCAGGGGTCTGCATTCAGCTCCCTCTGCGGGTCGTAGGGGCTCCTTGCCAAGACCTGTCCCCTGCGGGGAGGGACTCAGGCTCCATCCCCGGCGACTGTGCCACTGAGACCTTTTCCCCACAGTCGAGCAACGCAGTGGGGCCCAGAGTCCAGGGCGTCCTGTGCGCTTTTCTTTATGGGATCTGTGCACCGTGACGATGACGTGGGGGGTCTCGGGTGGGTCAGGGAGGTGGGCATTTTGTCACGATGGCTGCGGTCTGCGGTGCAGGTGTGGGCACCTGGCGTGACTAGGCGTGATCTGCCTCCTGTAACCCCGCTGCCCGCAGGGGCCCCCCGCCGTTGGTCGGGCCAAGTCACCACCCCTATTTAAGATCCCCTCGGTACTCCCCCAGCTCCCGGGACACGGCCCAAGGCCTCCAGGGCTCAGGTCTGGCCCGCCTCCCCCTGCAGCCCCCGTCCTGCCATTCACCCTCCTTTCCAAGTCCCGTCCGTTCCTCGCAGCTGTCCTGTCGCCTGCCACAGGGCCTTTGCGTGGCTGTTCCCTCCCCTTCACCACCACCCACCCACCCCTTCTGTGGGTCCCCATTAGCCCGTCGCTTCCTTGCAGCAGCCTCCGTGGGAGCCCCACATCTGGACGCCTGCAGGCTTCTCCTTATCCTCCACCGTCTAGAGCTGATTCACAGAGCTTGTCAGAGCCTTTTCACTCCCAGATTCCCGTCAGCCCTCATCCTGCGGGGGGTGGGGGGGGG